TGGTGGATTCCCTGAAGGTGAGTGCTGCCTGCCCTGCCTGAGGAGGGGCTGCTGAGCCAGGCGTGCAAACAGCGGCTCTGCTGGAGTAAATGACCGGGTTTAGTTGGCTGGGGAGGTACCTGAGGCGCAGAGTTGGGTATATCAGGGGTGGGGAACTTCATCTGCACTTGGACAGTGGGATGAAATCCCAGCTCCTCACTGGTGCTTCCCAGCAGGAATCTGGTAAGGAAACAAGCCACTGCTCCAATATGTGCATGCAGGATGTGTCACTAATCTGGAACACCTGGTTTGGGGCTGCATTGCTGCAGTGTTTGGGATTTCTGTTTGTGGTTAGGGCACAGTGTCCCCTTCCTGAGTGATCCCCTTGAGCTACTGGAAACATGGACGCTTGTTCAGCCCCTGCGTTTGGGAGTGAAGAGCTGCTGCTTTTAGTGAACTGCTGACATGGGATTTGCAGTTCCTGCACCTGAAGTGTGCAGTGTGGTCTGACAGCTCGAGTACGTCCAGGTGGGATTTAATGGGATTTATTGAGGGCAGCAGAGCAAAACTGACAGAGAAGAAGAATAATAAACAATCAAACTGAAACAAAGAGAAGGGGGAAAAAAACCCAGTACACAAGAAAACCAATCCCCAAAAGAAAAGAATTGGCTGAAAACCCTTCAGTTTTGTTCTGAGAGAATTACATTCTCACCTTTCAGGCTTTAGTCACCTTTGTTTTTCAGAAGGGCGTTTCCTTTACCAAGTACAGTGTGTTGTCCACTTCCTTTTCAGTTTGCTCAGTCTTCCTGAAGAAAACTTGGGTTTGCCCTGCAGTAAATCCCTTACTTAGTGCTTTGTAAAGTCCTTTGAGTTGTTGTGGGGTTGGGGGAGGGTTCCTTGTGCAGCTTGTGGGGAACTGGTTGAGTCGTTGTTTTCTGGTCATTTTTGTGGGCATGAGCAGTTCTGTTTAAGTTGTGTTTGGGTCTGATTAAAGAACAGCAGAGCAAAACCCCATCCCAGGGTCACTCGTGTTCGGGATTAAGCCCTTTGTGGAACGGTCCTTGCTCTGGCTTGGGAGAGTTTTCCCACCATTCCTGGAGAGATCCCAAGCCCTGGTAGTCAAGGAGGAGGGAGCAGCCAACTGCTCTGCAGCCAGCACTGCTTTAGAAATGAGGCCTCGTGGAGGAATTATCTTAGAATTAGAATTAATTCCAGCCAGAATGACTTCAAGGCACTCTAATCACTTTTAAAATACTACAGTACATAGGAAAGACGTGTTCATTCAGCTGAACTAATTCATTTCCCTTCTCTCCTTCTGACATTTAGGATGTTTTATGTAGGTTAATTAGTCTAATTTATGGTAGTTGGGAACAACCCTTTATATGAAGCCAGTGAATGTCAGGACAGTTCACCAGCACAAGGTACTGATTTTGAAGAGCCTGTGCTCGAGGAGAGCATTGGGATTCTGGGCTCTTATGTAATGTAATGGCCCTGGTTTAAAATAAATAAAAATATCTTGGCTCACGTACTTTAAACATCTTCACTATAGGACACCACCTGTTTGTGTATAATTCAAGCTGCAGAGCTGTAATGTAGAAAATGTCTGCAGGTCAATTTACTGTGTGTAATAATTCCGGCTGTAAAATCTGTCTCGTGAAGATTTTTTTCTTCTTTATTAAACAATGCTTCAGTCAGGGAAGTCTGAAAATGGGCTCTAAATATTTATGTAGCGCAAGGAGAAATTCCTCACAGCTCTTGAGGAGTAATTCCAGAGGAGGCCTTGCCAGAGTCCCAGGAGGAGCTGCAATTTGTCCTGGTGAGGAGTGCTGAGCGCAGTGGGAGCTGTGCTGGCACTGGCACAACTGAGAGCCTGAGCTCAGAGCTGCGGGCTGGGCCTGCAATATTCTGTGGTGAAGAAGGGCCAGAGGGGCAGTTGTGGGCTGGCAAAGCTGGAGTCTCCATCAGCTGGAGGGGTTTACTGTGTGCCCGTCACTGGGCTGAGCTCGGCTGGAGAGCCCTGGGCATTCCCACCCCTGCACGTGGCAAGGGCAGAGCAGCTCTGTGGGTCCATCCTGGGCTTCTGCTCCTTTGTTTGTCCTCTCTTCAAGCTTTAGGCATGTGGACGTGTTTCAGGTATTTAGGTGTGTCTTAGGTGTGCTCCAGGTAAACCTTGCAGTGTTTTTAATGGCCCCTGAGTTTGTTTCGAAGGGGAAACCCCTGGAGAGCGATAATTAATGTGGGATGAGAGTCCATATAACCCTGGTTGAGGTGTCAGAAGGGTGCAGAGAGAGGAGCTCGGGCAGGGGGGGGTCTGAGTGTGTGGGGCTGGGCTCGGGGTGCCCGTCCCCCCCAGCCCCAGCCAGGGATGGAGGTCACACCTGCCCCTGCAGCACGTCATGCTTGGACCCTGCTGCTGCTCTGGGCAAAGCCTGAGTCAGCCCAGTGTGAACTCTTGGATTTTGTTCTTTCTCGAGCCATAAATTCAGTGCTCACTAATGGGGTTGGGTAATTCTGATAATTGTTGGACTTCGGGATTGATTCACGTCTTGTTACCCCTCTGCTTACGTCAACTCCCCCTTTCTGCCCTGGGCACAGTTGTCAGCAATATTCCTGACTGCTGGGCTGACTGGGCCGGTGCTGAGGCTTTGGGAATTGTGTCCCTGGGGAACAAAGCATGGATAGCTGTCAGGATGCTTCAGGGTGGGTAGTTCACTGCAAGAGAGTCACTGTGAACCATCACAAACCTGGGGGCTTTTTGCCCAGTGAAAGCTGGTGCCTTTCCCCCCTTAGCTGGGATGGGGGGCTGTGCCATGGGATTGTTTGCTCCGTTCCAGTGCCTTGTGCAGAGGATCCATGGCCAGGCTCCCCCTGGCCCTGCAGAGCTGAGCTGGGCCAAGCTTTGAGTGCCCCATGAGTGAGGTGGGGGAGATGTGCCTTGTTGTTCTTGGGAAACCCGCAGTGACTCTGCAGTCTGGGCACTGGCTGTGCCCCTTGTGCTGCTTTGTCATCTCTCCAGAGTGCTGCCAGATAAGGAGCTGCATCACTTGCAGTTCATTCCCCTGAATTTTGAATGGGATCAGCCCTGATTGAAGCTCTTGCAGTAAACTTCATCTCAAAGGTCATGCAATTAAACTTGGGTTGAGTGTCAGGCCCTTATCTTGTTTCTGGCTGTTGATTTTAGTTTGCTTTGGGTATTTTACATCCTAAGATAAGCTAAAATGGGATGTTGGGATATATGAGTTCAGAGTAAGCTGGCTGCAGGCCAGCCAGCAGGATCCTGGCCCACCCCCTTGGCCCTTCACTGGGTGTTTATTTTCCTTGCCAGCACTTTGTCCTCTCCTTCTCTTGGTGTGTCCCCTGGGGCTGTTCCCTGGGCCCAGCTCGTCCCTCCCTAGTGCTGTGTCAGCCTTCCCAGGTGTCTGTCCAGGGTTCTGTGGTGCCTGACCCAGGGGCTGGGGGTCTGTGTGAGGGAATCAACTCTGGGAAAGCCATTGTTGGTGCCACCCAGCCCTGGCTGCTGCTCAGCCCCTCCCTGGGCCTGCAACTCTAGACAGAAGCGGCTGATTTTCCCTGGGAGGAATCCTGCCCGAAAAAGAGCTGGCAGCTCTCCCCTGGGATAGGTCAGAGGTGTGCCTGGGACACTGCACCTGGGCAGGGCTCTGTGTCCCACTGCAGATGGACAGGCCCCAGCAGCAGCAGGGAGGGACAGGGCTGGCCAGGGAGCCTGCAATGGTGGCACTGGGGGGCTTTAGGTGTCTGTCAGCACGAGGGGTGTCTGGGCTTCTGAACTTGCCTCAGACTTGGAGCCAGACTCCATTTTAGGGCACTGTTGACTCCTCTCTTTCCTAAATCCCTTAATATCCCAAGCACCTTTGGGGGTTTTTTAATGAAAAGAGGTAAATCAAGCCAAGCCTACCAAACATGGTAGGTAACCTTCTAGACAGGCTGTGCTTTGGTGTGACAGAAACCTCTGCCTGGCATAGCCAAGGGTTCAGTGAGAGCTTTGCTGAGCAAAGGGCGATGGTGGCACTTTGGAGCCACAGTGGGCACCCCATCCAGCCTGTTCCCCGTCCTTCAGCCACGCTCTGGTTGCATGGCTGTGCAGGGGGTGTTGGGTGTGCTGGGGGTGTTCACAGACAGTGGGGTGTGCTGTGGGTGTTCACAGACAGTGGGGTGTTTCTGTGGCTGTTCACAGACAGTGGGGTGTTTCTGTGGCTGTTCACAGACAGTGGGGTGTGCTGTGGGGTGT